GAGCTGTAGAGGCACTAGTTGTATGGTTTGGAGACAGAGACGGAGACATTGACAGAACAGAACCAGGGTTATTACAGTTAACTAAAACTAACTAAATAATAAAAACTGAAATTGAAAAAACTTTTTAGTTAACTAAAATAAATAAAAACTCTAATAAAATAAAAAAACAATAACTAAAACTGTATAATCCTTTTACAAAACTAACTGAAATTGTAGTTAGAATATCCTTAGTTTTAGTGTTTGTCAATTTATTTTGAGCCATGTAGATATTTTTATTTATTCTTTTCAAATCAACTAGTTTCACATTAGCTGTGGGTCAGTAGGGGTCACCTCAGGTGAGGAAACAAGAATTTCTGCCTCTAAAACGGGCCTCTGACGGGCCTTAAAGAAGACAGAAACTCTGTTCCACTCTGAACTTTATTTAGGCCATGACAGGTCATTCTAACCGTGGAAGAGAACCTCTTCCTCTTAATCAGATAATGGACAGAATAATCTCCATTGTTCATGATTCATTTGTCATTTAACTAAGAATGTTTATGCATTTGTTAAATCAAAGATAATGCCTGTCACATGAAAAAAGTAGAACTTCTTTTCTCTCATTGTGCCTTAAAAATTTCTAATGATATAAAAGAATCACAGAGAATGTGATTACAATGTTTTATTTTGTGTTTGATACAAATCACTGTTTTTAGTTTACTGTAAACACAGTGAAATTACTGGATTTTTCTTGAGAAAATCTTTCAGTTATCTAAACTAATGAATGGTTTAGAGTTGATTATGAAACAGAAATGTTACATGTCTGAAGTAATCATCATAAACCATTCATTAGTTTAGATAAACGAAAGATTTTCTCAAGAAAAATCCACAGTTATATTACTGTGTTTACAGTAAACTAAAAACAGTGATTTCTATCAAACACATAATAAAACATTGTAATCACATTCTCTGTGATTCTTTTATACCATTATAAACCTTTAAGGCACATTGGGCCTCATGCAAGAACCATTCGTACGCACAGATTTGTTCTTAAGTTGTGCGTACGAGTGATTTAGGAGAATTTGTGGCATTCACCAATGTTTTCGTATTCTAAGATTTTTTTCAGATACGAACAAAACTCACGAGTGGCCCAGACCTGTCGTATATTTTACCACGAGTCAATCTGCTGTTATCCAGATGGGTTTTCCTCCCTAATAAC